CCCCAAAACCCCAAAACCCCAAAACCCCAAAACCCCAAAACCCCAGGAGGGGAGGGGGTGATTGAAAAGAGGAGTTTTTTGGGTTGGGGATGTGAGGGGATATGGAAGTTGAAGGGTGAGGGGAAGAGAGGAGAGAAAATGGGAGTTTGTGGGGTTAGATATGTAGAAAGAATGGGTTTTAATTGATTTAGGGCTTTGGATAATAAAAACTTGGCGTGTTTAGAAAATTAAATCTTAAATAAAATCAGATCCATCCCTTCCTTTTAAACAGCAAGTATATTTTATTTTCTCAAAAAATCCAACAATCACCATCAAACCCATCTCAACCTCCTTCTAAATCTTCCTCTCCACTCCAATATCACTCTACCTCCTCCCTCTCCCTCCTTCTTCTCCACTTCCTCCCTCACCCACTCTCAGCCAAATCTCCTCTCTATGAATTCCCGATGAAATCTCATCCCTTGTAAACCACTAAATTTCAAGGCAAACCTCTAAAACTGACTGGCTGAAATATGGGATTTTAAGTGAAGAGAGGTAAACCAGGTTTTTAGGAAATTTATGGGAGAGTTTTGCTTAAGGCTAGCATTTTGAGGGATAAGAGAGGGTATGTGGGTGAAGAGGAGTAGGAGTTTATTAGAGAGAAGGAGTGGTGGAGGGGGTGTGAAGATGATGTGTTTTTTTGAAACACTAGCTTTTTAGGATTTAGGCGATTAGTTTTAATTAAGGTTTATCAAGAAAAGCAGGATGATATCAAGAGAGATGTTTAAATTTTGAACTACTGCTCATTTTATTATCATTGGGCAACTTAATAATACTATTTAGAACATATTTTATCTAAAACGATTCCATTTAAAAATCATATTATTTCCTCATTTTATTTCAAAAGACCTAACCTGATCATTTCCAAAATTCCTCTCATTCCAATCAATTTTAAAACCTGCACACTCAAATATTTTTCTCAAGAAGCCTTTCTTTCAGCTTCTCCATCAACACCTCACCTCCCTGTTCTTCAACCCACTCTTTCAAAAATCCTTCTCCTTCAGAGTCTCTATTAATTCATAAATTTTCAAGGAAAAATACCCAACTTTTAATAGTATCTCGCTTGCATTTCTAAATGCAAATTTTTCTTAAACTTGACCTAATAAACGAAAAAGTATCAAAGATGTATTAAGCAAGGTACAGCAAGGGGAGGTTTTGGGACTGAAGTTTAAGCCAATTCTGAAGGAGGAGGTAATCAGGTGGGAAATTGTAGGTTAGGAAGACGATTTAGAGAATGCAGAAGGCTGAGTGAAGAGTTGGAGGAGAAGAAAGTGGATTAGAGGTTTAAGCTTATTGATGAGAGTGACTATTTGGGGTTTTATAAGGGATCATATCTTTCCTTGTTCTATTTTTGGAGAGTTTTAATAGTTTTGGTGCAAACTTTTGAATTCCTGTTGTATGAATTTTGATGAGAGGTATTTTTGCTTGACTATTGATTTGGCCTCACTAATAACTTTAATATGTCAGGGATTTGTTGATTTGCTTATCTAACTTTGATATTCAAACTTTTAATGATGATTAACAAGCATTGTTTAAGTCTCAGCCTTGTCTTAAATTTATTTTAATTCTTTTAATCAAATTTGAAATAATTGCTCAGTTTTTCATAAAATATTACTGAAATATTAATCAAGTAACTACATTTTAGTAAAGGTTTGAGGAGCGATGAAAATTGCCTAACTCTACTTTGTATCTCTAACATTAATTCTTTAATAAATTTTCTCTCAAACTAGAGATTATTATAAATGGTTAAGAGCTTCAGATAGCTAACTTTCCTTAAAATTTTAGAAGTAATTAAGTTACAATTAATTTAGCTTATCTTCTGGATCAATATCATTCATCGTGATCAGGGGTTCAATGATAGGAGTTAATTCAGATTTTTCATGTACCATCTTCTTCAACTCTAATTTAAAAGGTGAAAAGGCTTTCATTCTTCTTTCTTGAATGGGTTGGCTTTTAACATTACTTTTTGAATAATTAGATACCGTGTGTGTCTTTATGTTTCTTAAAGGTTCAGATTTCTTAGACTGACAAGGCCTCCAAATAGATTTAGTAATACTCTCTTCTTTCCTTTCACAGACTAACTTCTCAACTTTGGTAGATGAATGATATCTTTTAGTGAACTGGTCCTTCAACGCGTGCATAAACCCATCGAATTCCTCGCTCTTGATGCTTCCTTTGTTGCTTCAAAGCAAGCTCTGGTGTCACTGTTTGGTTGGACTCAGCGAGTTCGAAGACACTGGAGACTCTTCTGGAATCTCGCACAGGTCATCGCCCATGGCTTGAACCTGAAGCAGAAGGTAAGAATAACGCTTAAATTGGAGTGCTTAAAACAAGGGAATGCTAACCGAGACTTACAATGTATTCAGGGTTGGTATTATCCATTTTATTAATTTATTAATAGTATTTGTAATCATATCCAATATCTTATCTCCCATTTGGGGTTTTGGGGTTTTGGGGTTTTGGGGTTTTGGGGTTTTGGGG